CCTAGTAAATATTCCCTGTCTTAGGTCAGTTAGGATCACCACTTCATTTTAAGAATGTGAAATGTCAGAATAATTGTAGAGAGAATGATTTATTTCAGGTTTTATTTCTTTCATCACATTCCCAGTGGGTCAGAAGTTTACATACACTCAATTAGTATTTGGTAGCATTGCCTTTAAATTGTTTAACTTGGGTCAAACGTTTCGGGTAGCCTTCCACAAGCTTCCCACAATAAGTTGGGTGAATTTTGGCCCATTCCTCCTGACAAACCTGGTGTAACTGAGTCAGGTTTGTAGGCCTACTTGCTCGCACACGCTTTTTCAGTTCTGCCCACACATTTTCTATAGGATTGAGGTCAGGGCTTTGTGATGGCCACTCCAATACCTTGACTTCGTTGTCCTTAAGCCATTTTGCCACAACTTTGGAAGCATGCTTGGGGTCATTGTCCATTTGGAAGACCCATTTGCGACCAAGCTTTAACTTCCTGACTGATGTCTTGAGATGTTGCTTCAATATATCCACATAATTTTTCTTCCTCATGATGCCATCTATTTTGTGAAGTGCACCAGTCCCTCCTGCAGCATAGCACCCCCACAGCATGATGCTACCACCCCGTGCTTCACGGTTGTGATTGTGTTCTTCGGCTTGCAAGCCGCCACCTTTTTCCTCCAAACATAACGATGGTCATTATGGCCAACAGTTCTATTTTTGTTTCATCAGACCAGAGGACATTTCTCCAAAAAGTACGATATTTGTCCCCATGTGCAGTTGCAAACCGTAGTCTGGCTTTTTTATGGCGGTTTTGGAGCAGTGGCTTCTTCCTTGCTGAGCGGTCGATATAGGACTCGTTTTACTGTGGATATAGATACTTTTGTACCTGTTTCCTCCAGCGTCTTCACAAGGACCTTTACTGTTGTTCTGGGATTGATTTGCACTTTTCGCACCAAAGTACGTTCATCTCTAGGAGACAGAACGCGTCTCCTTCCTGAGTGGTATGACGGCTGTGTGGTCCCATGGTGTTTATACTTGCGTACTATTGTTTGTACAGATAAACGTGGTACCTTCAGGCATTTGGAAATTGCTCCCAAGGATGAACCAGACTTGTGGAGGTCTACAATTTTTTTCTGAGGTCTTGGCTGATTTCTTTTGATTTTCCCATGATGTCAAGCAAAGAGGCACTGAGTTTGAAGGTAGGCCTTGAAATACATCCACAGGTACACCTCCAATTGACTCAAATGATGTCAATTAGCCTATCAGAAGCTTCTAAAGCCATGACATCATTTTCTGGAATTTTCCAAGCTGTTTAAAGGCACAGTCAACTTAGTGTATGTAAACTTCTGACCCACTGGAATTGTGATACAGTGAATTATAAGTGAAATAATCTGTCTGTAAACAATTGTTGGAAAAATGACTTGTGTCATGCACAAAGTAGATGTCCTAACCGACTTAACAAAACTATAGTTTGTTAACAAGAAATGTGTGGAGTGGTTGAAAAACAAGTTTTAATGACTCCAACGTAAGTGTATGTAAACTTCAGACTTCAACTGTATATATATCTCTCTCTCTCTCTGTCGTGGGCTGTTCTGATGATTCACAACATTGTATACACTGACTTTTCCTTCTCCTCTTCCCCTGCCTCCTTGGGTGTGTGTGGGTGTGTGTGTGTGTTTGGGTGTGTGGGTGTGTGTGTTTGGGTGTGTGTGTGTGTGTGTGTGTGTTTGGGTGTGGGTGTGTGGGTGCGTGCAGTTCCAGGAAGCTCAAGCTAAGAGAGAGGCAGAGGAGAGGAGACGTTTCCCTCTGGAGAAACGACTGATGGAGCAAATCATCGGCCAGGAGGGGGCCATCAACACTGTGGCTTCAGGTACACACACACACCCCAATCCTTTCTCCTTTAAAGAACATTTGCTTCAGGCCCCCTTCTATTTATTATCCTCTTTCTCTCTCTGGTGGGGGGGCGGGCTCAGTCAGGCAGGCAGAGGCTGTAATTGGTTAATTGTGATGAATGAGCTGTCCATCAGGCAGACACAGGTGGTGTGCGTGCCTGTGTGCGTGTGTTGAACAGCTGGAGAGGCCAGGCCTCGAGCCGCCAACTAACACGATTACAGAGAGACATACTCCAGACCTCTCTCAATCACTCCCTCCCCCCCTTCCGTCTCTCCATCTTTCTCTCCATCTCCAATTCCCGCCCTCCATCGCCCTTCCCCTCTCCCAGCCTTTCTGTTCATGTTCTCCCTTCCTCCATCTTTCAATGACTCCTTCCCTCTCTTCATCTCTACCTCTCCTCCTGTTCTTTCCTGTGTCAATGTCCTCCTGGAGGAAGTGATGCTATCTGGGGAGGGAGGGAGAGAGAGAGAGAGGACAGTTGGCAAGAGAAATGGAGAGAGAGAGAGAGAGAGGAGGTTGGGAGGTGACTTAGAGTACAACAAGGTAGAGGCCAGTAAATAGCTGATATTAAATTGTGGCTCCATGTAGGCTGTGTATCGATCGCTGGGCCACAGAGAGAGATTGTGTTTAGTGAGGCTTCTGTGTCTGCGGTTGCCAGGTACCTTGTACCACTCCAGAGCTGCACAGTAGTTGGCTAATGGCAAAAACAACCCTACTGTAACACAACAGTGGAAAGACTTGTACATGTAGCACTATATGAATGTGGACTGTTTAGAATGCTTGGGGATGTGGTGTTCCACTAAGTGGCTGTGTTTGTCACTAGCAGCAGCAGCAGTGTGTACTGGCTGTGTGACTGCAAACACAACAACCTAGAACACCACAATTATCAGTGGGAATGCTGGGATGTGTAGGCAGTTGCAGCAGGCAGAGCAGATTGCATGCTGGGAGCTGTAGTCCAGGCAGGGCAGTAGCCTAGGTCTCTGTGGCTGATGTGATGAATGGTGGTTGTTGCTGTGGCAAATTGTCCTGAAAGCAATCTGAGACACATCACCACAGCGATAAAGGAAGAGCTTATTGATCCCTGTGAAGTAATACAGTGAATATATCACACACACGGTCACTCACACACCACACACAGACTAACACACACACACACGGTCACACAAACACAAAAACACACACAGTGAAAATATCAGCTATCAGACTGAGGGATGATAGTGATGATCAGCAACAACACAAAGAGAGGGGGGGGGTGAGGGCACACACACACACACACACACACACACCCACACACACACACACATACACAGACATACACAATGACAGCTCGAGCTAATGCTTTTTACAAGCACCCAACGGCCTGGAGGGATAAGAGAGTGTGACAGAATGGAAGAGGGAGAAAGATATGAGAGGGAGAGGGATCAATAGAGAGAGAGAGAGAGCGAGAAGGAAATGAGAGACACAGAGAGAGAAGGAGATGAGAGACACAGAGAAAGAGAGATGAGACACAGAGAGAGAAGGAGATGAGAGACACAGAGAGAAGGAGATGAGAGACAGAGAGAGAAGGAGATGAGAGAGAAGGAGATGAGAGACACAGAGAGAGAAGGAGATGAGAGACACAGAGAGAGGAGATGAGAAGGAGATGAGAGAGAAGGAGATGAGAGACACAGAGAGAGAAGGAGATGAGAGACACAGAGAGAAGGAGATGAGAGACACAGAGAGAAGGAGATGAGAGACAGAGAGAGAAGGAGATGAGAGAGAAGGAGATGAGAGACACAGAGAGAGAAGGAGATGAGAGACACCGAGAGAGAAGGAGATGAGAGACACAGATAGAGAAGGAGATGAGAGACACAGAGAGAGGAGATGAGAGAGACAGAGAGAGAAGGAGATGAGAGACACAGAGAGAGAAGGAGATGAGAGACACAGAGAGAGAAGGAGATGAGAGAGAAGGAGATGAGTGACACAGAGAGAGAAGGAGATGAGAGACACAGAGAGAGAAGGAGATGAGAGACACAGAGAGAAGGAGATGAGAGACAGAGAGAGAAGGAGATGAGAGAGAAGGAGATGAGAGACACAGAGAGAGGAGATGAGAGAGACACAGAGAGAAGGAGATGAGAGACACAGAGAGAGGAGATGAGAGAGAAGGAGATGAGAGACACAGAGAGAGGAGATGAGAGAGACAGAGAGAGAAGGAGATGAGAGACACAGAGAGAGAAGGAGATGAGACACAGAGAGAGAAGGAGATGAGAGACAGAGAGAGAAGGAGATGAGAGACACAGAGAGAGAAGGAGATGAGAGAAACGGAGAGAGAGAAGGAGATGAGAGATAGAGAGAGAAGGAGATGAGAGACACAGAGAGAGAAGGAGATGAGAGACACAGAGAGAGAAGGAGATGAGAGAGAGAGAGAGAAGGAGATGAGAGAGACAGAGAGAGAAGGAGATCAGAGAGAAGGAGATGAGAGACACAGAGAGAGAAGGAGATGAGAGAGAAGGAGATGAGAGACACAGAGAGAGAAGGAGATGAGAGACACAGAGAGAGAAGGAGATGAGAGACACAGAGAGAGAAGGAGATGAGAGACACAGAGAAAGTGATGAGAGACAGAGAGAAAGAGATTAGAGTGAGAGAGGTGAGACGAGAGAGAAATAGATCAGAGACAGAGTGACAGCCATCACAGCAGCAAGATTTGTGACCTGTTGCCACAAGAAAAGGGCAACCAGTGAAGAACAAACACCATTGTAATTACAACCCATATTTATGTTTATTTATTTTCCCTTTTGTACTTTAACTATTTGCACATTATTACAACACTGTATATATACATAATATGACATTTGAAATGTCTTTATTCTTTTGGAACTTTTCTGAGTGTAATGTTTACTGTTAATTTTTGATTGTTTATTTCACCTTTGTTTATTATCATTTCACTTGCTTTGGCAATGTAAACATATGTTTCCCATGCCAATAAAGCCCTTTGAAATGAATTGAGAGAGAAAGTGATGAGAGACAGAGAAGGAGATGAGAGAGACAGGAGGGAGAGGTTTTAGAGCTATGTCCAGGAGGGTCAGAGGTTTTAGAACTAGGTCCAGGAGGGTCAGAGGTTTTAGAGCTATGTCCAGGAGGGTCAGAGGTTTTAGAGCTATGTCCAGGAGGGTCAGAGGTTTTAGAACTAGGTCCAGGAGGGTCAGAGGTTTTAGAGCTATGTCCAGGAGGGTCAGAGGTTTTAGAACTAGGTCCAGGAGGGTCAGAGGTTTTAGAACTAGGTCCAGGAGGGTCAGAGGTTTTAGAGCTATGTCCAGGAGGGTCAGAGGTTTTAGAACTAGGTCCAGGAGGGTCAGAGGTTTTAGAACTATGTCCAGGAGGGTCAGAGGTTTTAGAACTAGGTCCAGGAGGGTCAGAGGTTTTAGAACTATGTCCAGGAGGGTCAGAGGTTTTAGAACTATGTCCAGGAGGGTCAGAGGGTTTTAGAGCTATGTCCAGGAGGGTCAGAGGTTTTAGAACTAGGTCCAGGAGGGTCAGAGGTTTTAGAGCTATGTCCCAGGAGGGTCAGAGGTTTTAGAACTAGGTCCAGGAGGGTCAGAGGTTTTAGAACTAGGTCCAGGAGGGTCAGAGGTTTTAGAACTAGGTCCAGGAGGGTCAGAGGTTTTAGAACTAGGTCCAGGAGGGTCAGAGGTTTTAGAACTATGTCCAGGAGGGTCAGAGGTTTTAGAACTAGGTCCAGGAGGGTCAGAGGTTTTAGAACTAGGTCCAGGAGGGTCAGAGGTTTTAGAACTATGTCCAGGAGGGTCAGAGGTTTTAGAACTAGGTCCAGGAGGGTCAGAGGTTTTAGAGCTATGTCCAGGAGGGTCAGAGGTTTTAGAACTAGGTCCAGGAGGGTCAGAGGTTTTAGAACTAGGTCCAGGAGGGTCAGAGGTTTTAGAACTAGGTCCAGGAGGGTCAGAGGTTTTAGAACTAGTTCCCTGTTTCCAGGCAGGTTCCTCCTGGATAACTCATGACTGGCCTCTGGTTACAAACACTGTCTCTGTTTGGAGATGGGCAAGGAACTATTGGGCTTTACTATGTGTCTGTTTCACACAAACACACACACAAACAGGAAGGAGTAGATTGATTCTTGTTTAGCTCTCAGGCTAAAAGTTATAGTTGAGAAGATGATCCTCTTCTAATCACATTACAGTCCTCTACCCTACCAGACCTGGTCAATACCTCAGGCCTGCGTGTGTGTGTGTGTGTGTGTGTGTGTGTGTGTGTGTGTGTGTGTGTGTGTGTGTGTGTGTGTGTGTGTGTGTGTGCGCGCATATTTGTGTTGTCTGTCGTCTGTGGGTGTGTTGTACTGTCCTAGACCATGTCCTTTGAAGGACGTCAGTGTGTCCTTCTGCCAAAGTCAGTCTCAATCAGCTAACACAGACGCTCTCTCCTGGAGGTTACACTGTCATTCAGTCTGTTTAAAAAAACACACACACACACACACACATACACACTGTAATAAGTCTGGCTCTCAGAAGTACAGCCTGTGGGCGTCAGTATTCATCTTCATGACAATAAACTCTTCCATCTCTCCTTCTCTCAATTTATCTCTCTACCAACTTTCATATCTCTCCCTCTGTCTCTTATTTGTCTCTACCCCTATCTCCCCCTTTAACTCCACCTCCAGGATCGCTAACTCAACCTCCTTAATCTCTCCATTCCTCTCTCCATCTCTTCCTCTCTTTCCATCTCTTCATCTATCGTTCAGTCCCTCTATCTCTGTGTTAGTGAGAATCATGTGATGTCATGTTGCTGGTACTTTGACGGGTGGAGTGTGCTGTTTCGACAGGGAGAGGCGGATCAATGGATCTCTCTCTCACAGAGTGGAGACACAACTCATTTGGGGTAATTGTGGTGGTTGTTGAGAAACTGCAGCGTCCTCTCTGCTGCATGGATAAGCAGACTGAAATATGAAGACATGTATTGTAATGTGTGTTTCTGGCAGCTGGTACCAGACCCAAGTTCCCTGTCTGTTATTTATCTCCTCCTGCCCACTCCCTCCCGTCCGGAGGGTGAGTCAGTGTGTGTGTGTGTGTTTGGTTGCTGGGGTGATGGTTGGGTAAGGTAGGCAAGGCTCTCCTCTCTGGGTGAGGCGTGTGAGAGAGCGAGACTCAGATCCATGCTAACCTGATTTAGCTTTGGCCGCGCCGGGGAGGCTAACATGATTACCTCTGGCTAATGGCCCTACTGACTGAGAGAGGGGGAGGAGAGGGAGGAGAGGAGAAGGGATAGAGGGAGGATGGGAAAGGGGGATGACGGGTGGAGAGGGAGTGGGGTGGCAGGATAGCCTGCGATAAATATCCCCCTCCCGAGGCATTGATGGATACAACTTTAGAGATCTCTCTCTTTCTCTCTCTCTCCACCCCAAGTGCTCCTGACCCTTCTCTTTTCCCTCCTCCTTTATCATACTTTTTCTGCAACCCCTCCCTTTGTGCCTCTATTTGTCTCTCTCTAACCATCTCTCTCTCTCTCGCTCTGTCTACAGCGATCAGGAGGAAGGAGAATGGCTGGTATGATGAAGAACATCCCCTCGTCTTCCTCTTCCTCGGCTCATCTGGAATCGGTAACTCCTCTTTTCATCCCTATCTCTACATCCCTCGTTCCCCTCGTTTGTACCACTCTGCTGTGATGTGATGGAGCTTCTCTATAGCAGACTGCAGTAGTCTGGTTAATAGACAAGGAGCTTATCTATAGCAGACTGCAGTAGTCTGGTTAATAGACAAGGAGCTTCTCTATAGCAGACTGCAGTAGTCTGGTTAATAGACAAGGAGCTTCTCTATAGCAGAATGCAGTAGTCTGGTTAATAGACAAGGAGCTTCTCTATAGCAGACTGCAGTAGTCTGGTTAATAGACAAGGAGCTTCTCTATAGCAGACTGCAGTATCCTGGTTAATAGACAAGGAGCTTCTCTATAGCAGACTGCAGTAGTCTGGTTAATAGACAAGGAGCTTCTCTATAGCAGACTGCAGTATCCTGGTTAATAGACAAGGAGCTTCTCTATAGCAGACTGCAGTAGTCTGGTTAATAGACAAGGAGCTTCTCTATAGCAGACTGCAGTAGTCTGGTTAATAGACAATGAGCTTCTCTATAGCAGACTGCAGTAGTCTGGTTAATAGACATGGAGCTTCTCTATAGCAGACTGCAGTAGTCTGGTTAATAGACAAGGAGCTTCTCTATAGCAGACTGCAGTAGTCTGGTTAATAGACAAGGAGCTTCTCTATAGCAGACTGCAGTAGTCTGGTTAATAGACAAGGAGCTTCTCTATAGCAGACTGCAGTAGCCTGGTTAATAGACAAGGAGCTTCTCTATAGCAGACTGCAGTAGTCTGGTTAATAGACAAGGAGCTTCTCTATAGCAGACTGCAGTAGTCTGGTTAATAGACAAGGAGCTTCTCTATAGCAGACTGCATTATCCTGGTTAATAGACAAGGAGCTTCTCTATAGCAGACTGCAGTAGTCTGGTTAATAGACAAGGAGCTTCTCTATAGCAGACTGCAGTAGTCTGGTTAATAGACAAGGAGCTTCTCTATAGCAGACTGCAGTAGTCTGGTTAATAGACAAGGAGCTTCTCTATAGCAGACTGCAGTATCCTGGTTAATAGACAAGGAGCTTCTCTATAGCAGACTGCAGTAGTCTGGTTAATAGACAAGGAGCTTCTCTATAGCAGACTGCAGTATCCTGGTGAATAGACAAGGAGCTTCTCTATAGCAGACTGCAGTAGTCTGGTTAATAGACAAGGAGCTTCTCTATAGCAGACTGCAGTAGTCTGGTTAATAGACAAGGAGCTTCTCCTAAGCAGACTGCAGTAGTCTGGTTAATAGACAAGGAGCTTCTCTATAGCAGACTGCAGTATCCTGCTTAATAGAAAAGGAGCTTCTCTATAGCAGACTGCAGTAGTCTGGTTAATAGACAAGGAGCTTCTCTATAGCAGACTGCAGTATCCTGGTTAATAGACAAGGAGCTTCTCTATAGCAGACTGCAGTAGTCTGGTTAATAGACAAGGAGCTTCTCTATAGCAGACTGCAGTAGTCTGGTTAATAGACAAGGAGCTTCTCTATAGCAGACTGCAGTATCCTGGTTAATAGACAAGGAGCTTCTCTATAGCAGACTGCAGTATCCTGGTTAATAGACAAGGAGCTTCTCTATAGCAGACTGCAGTAGTATGGTTAATAGACAAGGAGCTTCTCTATAGCAGACTGCAGTAGTCTGGTTAATAGACAAGGAGTTTCTCTATAGCAGACTGCAGTAGCCTGGTTAATAGACAAGGAGCTTCTCTATAGCAGACTGCAGTATCCTGGTTAATAGACAAGGAGCTTCTCTATAGCAGACTGCAGTAGTCTGGTTAATAGACAAGGAGCTTCTCTATAGCAGACTGCAGTATCCTGGTTAATAGACAAGGAGCTTCTCTATAGCAGACTGCAGTATCCTGGTTAATAGACAAGGAGCTTCTCTATAGCAGACTGCAGTATCCTGGTTAATAGACAAGGAGCTTCTCTATAGCAGACTGCAGTAGTATGGTTAATAGACTGCAGTAGTCTGGTTAATAGACATGGAGCTTCTCTATAGCAGACTGCAGTAGTCTGGTTAATAGACAAGGAGCTTCTCTATAGCAGAATGCAGTAGTCTGGTTAATAGACAAGGAGCTTCTCTATAGCAGACTGCAGTAGTCTGGTTAATAGACAAGGAGCTTCTCTATAGCAGACTGCAGTAGTCTGGTTAATAGACAAGGAGCTTCTCTATAGCAGAATGCAGTATCCTGGTTAATAGACAAGGAGCTTCTCTATAGCAGACTGCAGTATCCTGGTTAATAGACATGGAGCTTCTCTATAGCAGACTGCAGTAGTCTGGTTAATAGACAAGGAGCTTCTCTATAGCAGACTGCAGTAGTCTGGTTAATAGACAAGGAGCTTCTCTATAGCAGACTGCAGTAGCCTGGTTAATAGACAAGGAGCTTCTCTATAGCAGACTGCAGCAGTCTGGTTAATAGACAAGGAGCTTCTCTATAGCAGACTGCAGTATCCTGGTTAATAGACAAGGAGCTTCTCTATAGCAGACTGCAGTATCCTGGTTAATAGACAAGGAGCTTCTCTATAGCAGACTGCAGTAGCCTGGTTAATAGACAAGGAGCTTCTCTATAGCAGACTGCAGTAGCCTGGTTAATAGACAAGGAGCTTCTCTATAGCAGACTGCAGTAGTCTGGTTAATAGACAAGGAGCTTCTCTATAGCAGACCAGTAGCCTGGTTAATAGACAAGGAGCTTCTCTATAGCAGACTGCAGTAGTCTGGTTAATAGACATGGAGCTTCTCTATAGCAGACTGCAGTAGTCTGGTTAATAGACAAGGAGCTTCTCTATAGCAGACTGCAGTATCCTGGTTAATAGACAAGGAGCTTCTCTATAGCAGACTGCAGTAGTATGGTTAATAGACAAGGAGCTTCTCTATAGCAGACTGCAGTATCCTGGTTAATAGACAAGGAGCTTCTCTATAGCAGAATGCAGTAGCCTGGTTAATAGACAAGGAGCTTCTCTATAGCAGACTGCCGTAGTCTGGTTAATAGACAAGGAGCTTCTCTATAGCAGACTGCAGTAGTCTGGTTAATAGACAATGAGCTTCTCTATAGCAGACTGCAGTATCCTGGTTAATAGACAAGGAGCTTCTCTATAGCAGAATGCAGTATCCTGTTTAATAGACAAGGAGCTTCTCCTAAGCAGACTGCAGTAGTCTGGTTAATAGACAAGGAGCTTCTCTATAGCAGACTGCAGTAGTCTGGTTAATAGACAAGGAGCTTCTCTATAGCAGACTGCAGTAGTCTGGTTAATAGACAAGGAGCTTCTCTATAGCAGACTGCAGTATCCTGGTTAATAGACAAGGAGCTTCTCTATAGCAGACTGCAGTATCCTGGTTAATAGACAAGGAGCTTCTCTATAGCAGACTGCAGTAGCCTGGTTAATAGACAAGGAGCTTCTCTATAGCAGACTGCAGTAGCCTGGTTAATAGACAAGGAGCTTCTCTATAGCAGACTGCAGTAGTCTGGTTAATAGACAAGGAGCTTCTCCTAAGCAGACTGCAGTAGTCTGGTTAATAGACAAGGAGCTTCTCCTAAGCAGACTGCAGTAGTCTGGTTAATAGACAAGGAGCTTCTCTATAGCAGACTGCAGTAGTCTGGTTAATAGACAAGGAGCTTCTCTATAGCAGACTGCAGTATCCTGGTTAATAGACAAGGAGCTTCTCTATAGCAGACTGCAGTAGTCTGGTTAATAGACAAGGAGCTTCTCTATAGCAGACTGCAGTAGTCTGGTTAATAGACAAGGAGCTTCTCTATAGCAGACTGCAGTAGCCTGGTTAATAGACAAGGAGCTTCTCTATAGCAGACTGCAGTAGCCTGGTTAATAGACAAGGAGCTTCTCTATAGCAGACTGCAGTATCCTGGTTAATAGACAAGGAGCTTCTCTATAGCAGACTGCAGTAGCCTGGTTAATAGACAAGGAGCTTCTCTATAGCAGACTGCAGTAGCCTGGTTAATAGACAAGGAGCTTCTCTATAGCAGACTGCAGTAGTCTGGTTAATAGACAAGGAGCTTCTCCTAAGCAGACTGCAGTAGTCTGGTTAATAGACAAGGAGCTTCTCCTAAGCAGACTGCAGTAGTCTGGTTAATAGACAAGGAGCTTCTCTATAGCAGACTGCAGTAGTCTGGTTAATAGACAAGGAGCTTCTCTATAGCAGACTGCAGTAGTCTGGTTAATAGACAAGGAGCTTCTCTATAGCAGACTGCAGTAGTCTGGTTAATAGACAAGGAGCTTCTCCTAAGCAGACTGCAGTAGTCTGGTTAATAGACAAGGAGCTTCTCTATAGCAGACTGCAGTAGTCTGGTTAATAGACAAGGAGCTTCTCTATAGCAGACTGCAGTATCCTGGTTAATAGACAAGGAGCTTCTCTATAGCAGACTGCAGTAGCCTGGTTAATAGACAAGGAGCTTCTCTATAGCAGACTGCAGTATCCTGGTTAATAGACAAGGAGCTTCTCTATAGCAGACTGCAGTAGTCTGGTTAATAGACAAGGAGCTTCTCTATAGCAGACTGCAGTAGTCTGGTTAATAGACAAGGAGCTTCTCTATAGCAGACTGCAGTATCCTGGTTAATAGACAAGGAGTTTCTCTATAGCAGACTGCAGTAGCCTGGTTAATAGACAAGGAGCTTCTCTATAGCAGAATGCAGTATCCTGGTTAATAGACAAGGAGCTTCTCTATAGCAGACTGCAGTAGTCTGGTTAATAGACAAGGAGCTTCTCTATAGCAGACTGCAGTAGTCTGGTTATAAGACAAGGAAAAGCCACTCTAGTAGCTCCGACACAATCATTTATATTCACCAACGTTACAACAGCAAGCTGTTGACACTGAAGGTCATCAGTATATACAGGTTTTCATTGTTATTCAAGCAGTCTTCAACAGGGTTTCATGTCAAACACTGCAGGTCACCAGTATATACAGGTTTTCATTGGACACACGCAGGTGATTATAATCATAGCCGTCATGTCATTGGTCAATTTACAAATATCAACACTATGTACAAAGGCATGAATGGATATCCAACGATCATAAGTAGCCTACAATTACATCATAAGTAGCCTACAAAATGTTATTTACAATAGCCTGATTGCCGGATCTATTTGTGCTTTAGCCTACTCCTCTGACGTTGGTTGACATGCTATGGACAAGCAGATCTGGCAACTACGCTATGACTGGACAGCTGACCTCTCCTGACCCCTCTGACTCAACCACAGCCCTATAGAACTACACTCTCTCTCTCTCTCTCTCTCTCTCTCTCTCTCTCTCTCTCTCTCTCTCTCTCTCTCTCACACTCACTCACTCACTCACTCACTCACTCACTCACTCACTCACTCACTCACTCACTCACTCACTCACTCACTCACTCACTCACTCACTCACTCACACACACACACACACACACACACACACACACACACACACACACACACACACACACGAGTCAGCAGCAGTGGTTCTGGGTAAGATATGGTAGGGTTTAGGGATAGATGGAGTGGATGTGTTTAACTATACTTGGACCAGAAGTCCCCACAAGAATAGTAAACAAACATGACCAACTGGGGACATTTTGTTAGTCCCAATAAGGTCAAATGCTATTTCTAGGGGGTTTAGGGTTAAGGTTAGAATTAGTGTTAGGATTTAGGGGTAGGGTTAAGGTTAGGTTTTTGGGGTAAGTTTAGGGTTAGGGGTTAGTGAAAATAGGATTTTGAATGGGACTGAATTGTGTGTCCCCACAAGGTCAGTTATACAAGTGTGTGAGAGAGAGAGATATGACAGGGCTGGGAGATAGATGGAGGGGAGGCAGTGTTCATATTCTCTCTGCCTCCAGCGACGGTGGCCAGGAGACATGAATATTTAACACACAGCAAGTCCCCCATCTCTCTGTCTGGAGATATTACACACACAATCCATATGAATATATCCATATGAATACACCATCCATATGGAGATTAACATTTATAAGAGGAATATTTTACACACACACACACACACAGAGAGAGAGAGAGAGAGAGAGAGAGAGAGAGAGAGAGAGAGAGAGAGAGAGACAGAGAGAGAGAGAGAGAGAGAGAGACAGAGAGAGAGACAGAGAGAGAGACAGAGAGAGAGACAGACAGAGAGAATTGAAGGTGACTCATCTGTGCCTTCTGGTTATTGAGCCACCAATCAGATAGCAGGGACAACAAGTCATAGCCTATTAGCAGCTACCTGAGATTCCACCCAGAGGTTCATGTAAGATCATCTTTAGAATATTTGGAGGCTTGGTTGAAAGTGGATTCTTGTCAGACCATTGATGTTCAAAGCTCTGTCCATACTGCACTCTGATTGGTTAATCCTCTCCTCTTCCCACAGGCAAAACTGAGCTGGCCAAACAGGTGGCTCGCTACATGCACAAGGACCTCAAAAAGGTATGTGTTACAGTCACACACGTTCATACAGCAGCACAGCTCAAATCAGATTGTATCAGCAATACTGATCATATTATGTGCAGTCCCATGTGCGTGTGTGTTATTACTGCTCATTCAGTAACCATGAGCCTTCTCTTCTCAGGGATTCATCCGCATGGACATGTCCGAATTCCAGGAGAAGCACGAGGTATGACATCATCAATACCACTTTCCCAAAACCAGGAAGATACTTCATATTCCCACAACCAGGAATGTCCTTGGGCTGGGATACTCTATCTACTGTAGCTGAGGGCTTCCCAGTCGCTGTCATGAACAGTTTAACCCTGTGTTGACTGAGCGACCTTGGGCTCTGTCTAACCTTTCATCTCCCACAATTCAATTAAAAGAGATGTGTCCAGGTTCCCACAGAAACACAGACAGATGCAGCTTGTGGAGGAAGAAAAGGCCCCAAAACATTGTTTTTGTATCAGAGGAAGTAGTAATCTGACATCATCTTCAGTTCAATAGGTTCATCTACCTGTTATCATAATTCTCTCTCAATCTCTCCCTTTTCATCTCTCTCGCCATCTCTCTCTCTCCTCTCGCCATCTCTCTTTCCCTCTCTCTCCTCCTCTCTCTCCACCTCTCCCTCTCTCACAATCTCTCTCCACCTCAATCTCTCTCCACCTCGCTCCCCACCTCTCTCCCTCTCTCTCTGTCTCTCTCTAGGTGGCTAAGTTCATAGGTTCTCCTCCAGGTTATGTTGGTCATGAAGAGGGAGGTCAGCTGACTAAACAGTTGAAGGCGTATCCCAATGCTGTGGTTCTGTTTGACGAGGTGGACAAGGCCCACCCAGACGTACTGACCATCATGCTACAACTGTTTGATGAGGTACATGCATACACACACACACACACACACACACACACACACATTTTTTTTAACCGTACAAAATCACAGGTTCTACTGTGTCACATTTCTAGATTCTTGAGTTTCTCTCTCTCTCTCGCTCTCTCTCAATTCAATTTATTTAAGGGCTTTATTGGCATGGGAAACGTGTGTTAACATTGCCAAAGCAAGTGAAGTAGATAGTAAACAAAAGTGAAATAAACAATAAATATTAACAGTAAACATTACACTCAGAAGTTTCAAAATAATAAAGACTTTTCAAATGTCATATTATGTCTATATACAGTGTTGTAACAATGTGCAAATAGTTAAAGTACAAATGGGAAAATAAATTAACATAAATATGGGTTGTATTTACAATGGTGTTTGTTCTTCACTGATTGCCCTTTTCTTGTGGCAACAGGTCACAAATCTTGCAGCTGTGATGGCACACTGGATTTTTCACCCAGTAGATGAAAAACTCTCTCCTACTCTCGCTCTCTCTCTCGCTCTGTCTCTAAATCTCTCTCTCTATTTCCAAATCTCTCTATCTCCCTCTCACCCGCTCCCTCTCTCTCGCTCTCTTTCCCTCTCTTTCTCTCTCTCTCTCTTTCTCTCTCTAAATCAACATTTCTTTCTGTCTCTCTCTAAATCTCTCTTTCTCTCTCTCTTTCTCTCTCTCCCTCTCACCCGCTCCCTCTCTTGCTCTGTCTCTCTCTCTTTCCCTCTCTTTCTCTCTGTCTCTCTCTCTCTCTCTCTCGCTCTCTTTCTCTCTCTCTAAATCTACATTTCTTTTTCTCTCTCTTTCTCTCTCACTTAATCTCTCTCTAAATCTCTCTTTAAATCTCTTTCTCTCTCTCCCTCTCACCCGCTCCCTCTCTCTCTCTCTCTCTCTCTCTCTGCTCTCTTTTTCTTTCTCTCTCTTTCTTTCTCTCTCTTTCTTTCTCTCTCTTTCTTTCTTTCTCTCTCTCTCTCTCTAAATCTCTCTCTTTCTCTCTCTCAGGGCCGTCTTACAGATGGGAAAGGGAAGACCATTGAGTGTAAGGACGCCATCTTCATCATGACCTCGAACGTGGCCAGTGACGACATCGCCCAGCATGCATTGCAGCTCCGCCAGGAGGCCCAGGAGCTCAGCCGCAGGAAACTGGCCGACAACCTAGGTGAGATACACACACACAAACACACACACACACACACACACACACACACACACACACACACACACACACACACACACACACACACACACACACACACACACACACACTATAGACAAACAGGTTGTTAACTCCTCCTTTTCTCCAGATGATGTTCAGAAGAGTGATGATGTCACCATCTCCAGGCAGTTTAAGGACGCTGTAATTCGCCCTATTCTGAAGGTAACGCCCCACGCCCTCATCCTATACCCAATCACAGCATCTCGTTGACACACATACACCACGGATTGGTTGAGCCACTATTCTGAAAAGCTCTTATTGGTGAATTCATTTTATCCTCCCAAGGCCCATTTCCGGAGGGACGAGTTTCTGGGACGGATCAATGAGATTGTCTACTTCCTGCCGTTCTGCCCCTCTGAACTGCAGCAGCTTGTCAGCAAAGAGCTCAACTTCTGGGCCAAGAAGGTAACCGGTGGTGTGTGTGACTGTGTCCGTGCGAGTGCGCTATTGCGTAGTATTATGGACTGTGTGTTGTGTGTGTGTGTGTGTGTGTGTGGTTTGTACCCACCGTATGGGTGTTTTCATTGGCGTGGGTTGACTAGAGAGATCCACTCAGATCAATAAAAGATGCTGTCCCTGTCTGCTCTGATCTGATTGTACTGTTTAACATCACGTGAACTTTCATAAATATTTAAATATCAATATCACTCTGTTTCTGTCAGCCAACTCTGCCTCAGGGAACTGATAGTGACCTGACTCATCAGTGTGTGTGTGTGTGTGTACCTCTGTGATGTGATGAAGGTTGACAATAGCAGTTCTTATTAGAGTAACTCCAGAGGGATTTAGCTGACCTTAGGCACAGACCTAGGATCAGTGTAGCCTTCCTAAATCCTAGCCTTAACCACCAAGCCGACCTCAGATCAAATCCTAACCTTAACCACCAAGCCGACCTCACATCAAATCCTAACCTTAACCACCAAGCCGACCTCACATCAAATCCTAACCTTAACCACCAAGCCGACCTCACCATCAAATCCTAACCTTAACCACCAAGCCGACCTCACATCAAATCCTAACCTTAACCACCAAGCACGACCTCACATCAAATCCTAACCTTAACCACCAAGCCGACTCACATCAAATCCTAACCTTAACCACCAAGCCGACCTCACATCAAATCCTAACCTTAACCACCAAGCCGACCTCACATCAAATCCTAACCTTAACCACCAAGCCGACCTCACATCAAATCCTAACCTTAACCACCAAGCCGACCTCACATCAAATCCTAACCTTAACCACCAAGCCGACCTCAGATCAAATCCTAACCTTAACCACCAAGCCGACCTCAGATCAAATCCTAACTTAACCACCAAGCCGACCTCAGATCAAATCCTAACCTTAACCACCAAGCCGACCTCACATCAAATCCTAACCTTAACCACCAAGCCGACCTCAGATCAAATCCTAACCTTAACCACCAAGCCGACCTCAGATCAATCCTAAACCTTAACCACCAAGCCGACCTCACATCAAATCCTAACCTTAACCACCAAGCCGACCTCAGATCAAATCCTAACCTTAACCACCAAGCCGACCTCACATCAAATCCTAACCTTAACCACCAAGCCGACCTCAGATCAAATCCTAACCTTAACCACCAAGCCGAACCTCACATCAAATCCTAACCTTAACCACCAAGGCCGACCTCAGATCAAATCCTAACCTTAACCACCAAGCCGACCTCACATCAAATCCTAACCTAACCACCAAGCCGACCTCACATCAAATCCTAACCTTAACCACCAAGCCGACCTCAGATCAAATCCTAACCTTAACCACCAAGCCGACCTCACATCAAATCCTAACCTTAACCACCAAGCCGACCTCAGATAAAATCCTAACCTTAACCACCAAGCCGACCTCACATCAAATCCTAACCTTAACCACCAAGCCGACCTCACATCAAATCCTAACCTTAACCACCAAGCCGACCTCACATCAAATCCTAACCTTAACCACCAAGCCGACCTCAGATCAAATCCTAACCTTAACCACCAAGCCGACCTCACATCAAATCCTAACCTTAACCACCAAGCCGACCTCACATCAAATCCTAACCTTAACCACCAAGCCGACCTCAGATCAAATCCTAACCTTAACCACCAAGCCGACCTCACATCAAATCCTAACCTTAACCACCAAGCCGACCTCAGATCAGTGTCCAGTGGTAACTTCTTAATCTGACGGGCTAGATGAACCGGATCTGTGATCAATAGGAGTGATCAAAGATGTTAATACGAATTAGGAGATGCTTGCAGTGTTAAAGATGCACTATGCAGAAATCGATCCACGATTTCCTTGTTTCAGTTCATGTGACAAAACAAGTATAGTGTAGAGAATCATTGTACCATCTAAAGCACTGTGACATTTTTTTCCATAACCAAAAATATTGTATTTTCAGCTGTTTAAAGCTGGAGTACAAAACCGAAAGTAAAAGACTCAAAAACGAAACTTAAGCACGGGAAGCATAGAAAGAAAGAACATAGAACAGATCTACAGCTTCTTACACTTGCTTTCAATGAGAATGACAGATCTATAACTCACATTTCTATGTGAATTTGGTCAGGTCGCCCAAAAAGTTACATATTACAGCTTTAACTCGGCTGATGAATCAGGGCTAAGTGCATTAGCACAGGACTCATATTATTGTTCTTTAACATGGGGAGAAAGGGTGTCTGCCATATAGTGCTACGTCTCACCGTCACTCCGACCCAACGGTCTCTCTCTCTCTCTCCCCTCGTTAGGCGAAGCAGAGGCATGACATCACTCTGCTGTGGGACCGCCCCGTTCTGGACCTGCTGGCTGGAGGGTACAACCTGCACTACGGAGCCCGCTCCATCAAACACGAGGTACACACACACACACACTTACAGATACACACACTGAATGGATCTGCTTCAACTAACAATAAGGGTCCGTGCAGAGCTCTCCCACTTACCTGTCTCCCCCTCTGTTTCATTACTGTCTACATAAGGAGAGTTAAAGGCCCAGTGCAGTCAAAAATTAGATTTTCCTGTGGTGTGTGTGTGTGTGTATGTGTATGTATATGTATATATATATATATATATATATATATATATATATATATATATCACACACACACAGTACCAGTCAAAAGTTTGGACACACCTACTCATTCAAAGGTTTTTCTTTATTTGTACTATTTTCTACATTGTAGAATAACAGTGAAGGCATCAAAACTATGAAATAACACATATGGAATCATGTAGTAACCAAAAAAGTGTTAAACAAATCAAAATATATTCTTCAAATAGCCACACTTTGCCTTGATGACAGCTTTGCACACTCTTGGCATTCTCTCAACCAGCTTCATGAGGTAGTCACCTGGAATGCATTTCAATTAACAGGTGTGACTTCTTAAAAGTGAATTTGTGGAATTTCTTTCCTTAATGCATTTGAGCCAATCAGTTGTGTTGTGACAAGGTAGGGGGGGGGGGGGGGTATACAGAAGATAGCCCTATTTGGTAAAATACCAAGTCCATATTATGGCAAGAACAGCTCAAATAAACAAAGAGAAACGACAGTCCATCATTACTTTAAGACATGAAAGTCAGTCAATAGGGAACATTTCAAGAACTTTTAAAGTTTCTTCAAGTGCAGGCGCAAAAACCATCAACTCATGAGGACCGCCACAGGAAAGAGTTACCTCTGCTGCAGAGGATAAGTTCATTAGAGTTACCAGCCTCAGAAATTGCAGCCCAAATAAATGCTTCACAGAGTTCAAGTGGTCCTCTGTAGCTCAATTGGTAGAGCATGGTGCTT